ACGTAAGGACAGTATGATAAAAAATTACTTTCAAATTTCAGAAACACATGTTTTCAATTATGTTATAAGATGACTGTGAATGTGTTTTCTGTCCTGCCGGTGTGGGGAGGCACACATACCCTCTTCAACCGTCAAATCTGTCTCTGTGCGTGACCACGCCCCCACGCAGAGGTTCTGCAACCGTCGTCGCGCACTTAAAAAAACCCTAAACCATCTAACATGTTATCAATTGAAGAAAAAAGTATTGGGCCAGTTTCCAAAGCCTCCCCCTATATTGTCAGTCACACTCGATCTTCGCATTGATGTCCTTAAAATAACCTCACAGGGCTTTATTGATCCTACATCAGGAAAATTCACTTTTATTTGCAAGAAAATGGCATAAAGACCGCAACAAGTAGTCTCACCATAAAACAATCAGAACCTTTATTAAAAAAAATGACAAAGACAAAAAAAATATTAGATAAGGAAACTATAAGCTCTGCACAATATATTTGACAGGATGCCATTTATAAGTTTTGGTGAATTTGTCTTTATTAAACTGGGATTAGAGCCACACATTGAGAATATTTTCATAATAATCCCCATGGGATTTTTGTTTCCGCTGGTTGGTCAACCCATCTCAGAAAACCAAAGCACAACTGTTCTTTTGTTTGCGCTTGGATTTGCACTTCAGTGTTTTCAGCTTAGCGATCTTTCTTATAGTTCTGAGGTAATATTTAATTTGGTTAATCTGTCTTCACTTGTCTTGGCTCACTGCTCTCCCTCAGCTGTTCTATATCTAGTTAACAGTCCCACTTGTGACTTCCTCAGCATCAAAGCCTCTGAGTTCAGTCACTGTATAGTCAGATTCTCCTGTTCTCTTCAGTTTCCTTCTTTTTTCTAGGCCCACTTGTGCTGACTTTGTTTTTTACTATGAGTTTATTTTATTCTTCAGTTTTCTTTTTTCCTGCACAATTTAAATTTTGTAATTTATTACTATTCTAATTCATTTCCAAGTGGGTTTAACATTTAGGTCCATGTTAGACAAATGGCAGCGCAAATAATAATTTAGCTATCCACACTGTTTTATGAAAAAGAGCTACTAGTTTGAAAGGAAGACTGTAAATATGTGGAAAATGGGTCTGTGATTAGTTAGACTAAACTGAGCAACCTCTGTGACAGGATCGTGCAGGTGGGAGAATTTCCCTCAGTAGGGAAGTAATAAAGAAACTTGATAGAGGCTGCAGAATACAATGGGACAATGTTCTTGTTCCAGCAGTTTGAGCTACTTTGTGATGAAAAATGGCAAAGAATTAAACTTTCAGATGTTCAAAGCAGGTAGAGACATACTGCCAAAGATGTGGAACTATATTTTTTCAAGTAGTTCTTAACTTGAATAATTTACTAGTGTTAAAACCCTTTGTTATTTTCCTTTCACTCCAAATTAAACACCACTTTATGCTAATCCAGGAGTCTGCAACCTTTGTAATCCAAGCTGCCCCTTTTTCTCTCAAACTGGAAAAACTTGTAATTAGCTGCATGTTACATGAACTTTTATAAAAGAGACAACTTATAATTCTCAAGAGATTCCGGATAAATATGCTTTATTTTTAAGAGTCACGATATTAATTATTAAGGTTGAAAGAACAAGAAGAAATAAACTTTGCAGTGTGATGATAGATATGGCCCGATTAATAACGATGGTGTGTGTGTCTTTAGAATTGAAAATTTGTTTTCCTTTTGGGTGTTTTTGCCCACATTTTTAGTCTAGCTGGCCCGTGACCACAATTAAAATAAAACAGGGATGCAAAGCTAATCTTGCTTTTGCAGATTGGAAGGGAAAGATAATAGGCAAAAAAAAAAAAAAAGAGCATCCTGGAGCATTAAACTGACGGCTTGTTATTTTTTAATTTTATGCCAAAAGTTTATCCAATCAAATCAATCTTTATTTTTTTTCTGTGGTCAATACTGCATCACTTAAAGTGTTTTTGTTTAGTTTTCCAGTACTACCTTTTAGAAATTGGATATCAACAGAGCGACCTAACAGAGGAAAGAGGCCAGAAAATTTACCCAATCTTAAATTTACTAACACTACATTTAAAAAGTCCAATTTGCTTTACAGCAGATTAATAAAACATAGAAATAAGCTTTTAGTTAATGCAAAGAAATAGGAAAATTTAAATTTGATAGATGAGCCAAATTAGCAAACTCTATTGAATAAGAAGTAAAACTGAAAAACAATAAATTGGATGATGCAAAAGTCTTGTGTCCATCAGATGTTTATAAAAATCTATTTGTATTTGGAAACAATACTTGAAAAGCTGTTCTTTGTGATATAAATGAAAACTTTTAACGTTGTCCCCAAATGAGCTTATGAGAACCTGTGCAATACAGGCTCAGCTCAACACAGACTGATGCTCATTGATTCATTGGTTAATCAGTTTAAATTAAGTCTTTCTAATTTAACATGTATTCTAAGTCTTCGCATTAAAAGAAAATAAGAGAATAAAAGTTAATCAGAAATTCAATTAGATAAATTGTTAAAGCAGTTACAGTAAACAACAAATGCAATATTTTCACCTAATATTTTCTATTCATATTTTGTTTATATGTATTAAACTTGTGGCCTTGTAATAAACTGAGTGGATTTTCTACTGATATGAGAGAAATTAAAATATACGCTTAAATGATCCATTCTCCCTGATACTGTAAAAGAACAGCCAAGGGGAGATTGTGCTATAAAAAGAGAAATAAAACTATACTGATTATGAGTAGTTAATGTTTCCAAAAGCATTTTCCAACATTTCATAAAGGCATCCATTTGGGCCAGTTGGGGCGAATATATTTATTGCATTAAAAGAGACAGAGCAGCTCCCACTTAATCCACCAGCAGGTAATTAATATATAAACTCCTCCAATTTGTCACCTTGATTTGTATTTTTACTTAATTGTGGACGTAATTACGGGGCAAATTAACAGCTTTCAGGGAAGAAAAAGGCTTAGTAGGTCCGGCTCCGGCTCGGGGAGCCTTATTAATTTCTCTCTGGCTTAAAGATGTGATGAAAAGAGGCCATAAATCTGGGTGATCGGCCGGGGCCGATAGTAAATGCCCTCATATTTCACCGTTGCCTTAATAGAAATATTTATGTTTGGGGCCTTTAATGAAATTATACTTGTGTGCCCATGAAAACCAGCTGTTAAATGAGGCTGATAAGTTGCATTTAAAGGATTGTTTGTGTTGTTGTTGTTGTTTTTTTTTTTTCAAATAAACCCAAAAGTTGCGCTTTTAGCCGAAGAAAAGAAACCCTCAGTTTTTTATTAGACTCCAAAAGTGCGCAAATGGTTTCCCAAGTCTTAGCACCTCTTTTAATAACAAAGAAAAATACATCCGATCCAAACTGATAAAGAAAAAAACATTTATAATAAATTAAACTGTGCTATAATAAGGTTTCCTTGCAGGCCACCATGAATACATCTCAGTCCCCACATCAATCTCCCAGTTATCATTCCCTAATTGGTCATGATCATCAGGGGCCGCAATTAAACGGCCATCCTTTACTAGAAAACTCCTCGCTGACTTGTTGATTTCCCCCGAGCAAATAAACGTCCCAGAGACCGCGCTTCGCTGATGAATCGACAAAAACCAATCAGCTTTATTGGGAGACAGGTTAAGGGCAACGGGGTGTCAATAATTCTGGTTTTCGACCTCCTCTTCAATTAGCTTTAAGTGGCTCATTCAGGCCGGACCCCTTCCGCCTGCAGCTAATTTGAACTTTTTATTAATTTATTTTTCTTTTTATTAATTTATTTTTCTTTTTATTAATTTATTTATCTTAAACAAAATACCATTTATCGTTTAATGATAGTGGGGGGAAAAGTGAAAGTCTTCCATAAAGACAACAGTTTTTCATTCAAAGTTAAAAGTAAGTTTGATATTTTGTTTTGTATAAACTGTTTGCATACAAAATGACAATGAAAGTTGTCTAATATGCATAAAAAAAAAAAAGATCCTTCAGTTGACCAAAACCCTAATCATTCCATTGGAAGCTAAATAAGATCGGTATTTTACGATTTATTTTTATTACTGATTAAAAGATGGAAAGTCTAAGTCTGCTGAACTGTATTTGGAATAAAAAAAGGAGATAGTGTATGTAAAAATTGCGTATAACAGACTTTGACCTTGAGCCCCTTGGAAATGGAGGCAATGTCAATGCTTTACACATGACAGAGGTTAATTCTGTTAGTTTAATGATGTTTAACTGTTTATCCTCAAAAAGACTGAATTAAAGATCGTATAAAAATCCGCTTTGACCCAGAATTGAACAAGAAAATACTTTTGAGCATCCATGGCCTGGGAGCAAGCTCAGTAAACAGGCATTGATAAGGAGAGAACACTTTACGCGGTGGAAATGTTCATCTTCAGAATGGATGACCTTCCTTACTTTTTACAAAAGTAAAAAAAAAAAATAATAATACATATATATATATATATATATATATATATATATATATATATATATATATATATATATATATATATATATATATATATATATATATATATATATGCAAAATACGATAAGGGATATCACAACTGGCCCACCTTTACAGGTACTTACAGGTAATAATATATATATATATATATATATATATATATATATATATATATATATATATATATATATATATATATATATATATATATATATATATATATATATATATATATATATATATATTATTATATATATATATATATATATATATATATATATATATATATATATATATATATATATATATATATATATATATATATATATATATAATTTTATTTTATTCCACAGAAGGAAACGTTTGCATCATCAAGTTATTAGGAAATGAATATTAATGCCACCATCCTGCTTTGGGATGGTGGGGCAGGAGGCGTTGTTGGTCCTCTGGATGGCTACGTTGGGACAGCCCCCCTGTTTCACGCTGCACCAATCGCCTCCATCTGACCGGGATTAAGTGTCAATCGGAGCTCCTCTCTCACACTCCGGAGCATATCATCAACTTGTGAAAGGTGAAGAAAACAGGACTGATTTCTCCATCACTTTAGCGGCCGCAGAGGCAACCGGGACGCGCACCGGCCGAACCAATGGAGAAATCCAAAAACTTTCGCATCGACGCGCTTCTAGCAGTCGATACACCCAAGGCGCAGACCTCACCGCTGGCACTTGTGACTTCCCTCTCCTCATCCTCTGCCTCTTCATCCTCCATCCCGCAGTCAGGAGGCGGAGCGGCCCCGGAGCTCTCAGCCGCGGCCGAGTCTTTACGCGCCGAGACGCCGCCGTCTCCGCCGAGGGTTTCCACCTGCGGTCTGATTCCCAAACCGGGGTTCCTGAACAGCGCGCACGGCATGGTGGGACTACACCCGCAGAGCAGCGGGGGGATCCCGGCGCAGGCTCTCTACGGCCATCCCATGTATTCATACTCCGCCGCTGCGCTCACGGGCCAACATCCCGCACTGTCCTACTCCTACCCGCACGGCTCGCATCACCACCACACCAGTGATCCCATTAAACTGACGGCCAGCACCTTCCAGCTGGACCACTGGCTGAGAATGTCCACAGCTGGGATGATGCTCCCAAAAATGTCCGATTTTAATGGTGAGTTTCAGCTTCCTAATAGAAGGCTATCCCCATTTCTCTCAAATATTTGAATCAGGATGAAATGCGTATTTTAATTGTTTTATTTAGATAAATAATTAAATACTAAATATTTTAGAAGAACAAAAAAATATATTCTGATGACATCAATAAAATAGAAGCATGTTAAAATTGAAGTAACAAAATACCAATAACAGTGACGTGCGGTGAGGTTCATAGCTGGTGAGGCACTGACGTCATCAGAATCAGATTTGCAAATAGATGCATAGATTGACAGCAGTTTACAGGTTATGTTTCACTTCTGCATCCTTACACATACAAACTGTAGCTCACAAAACACACATTTCCTTAAAAAACAAAACAAAATAAATGTTATTACTGTCTTACCTTTACTTATAAATGAATAGAAGTCCTCCTTATCTTCCTTCAGTTTTAAAAGTCTCTCTGTCTCAATGGAGATCACTGCCAGGGAAGAAAGCCTTCCTTGATCCGTCCTGTTCCTGCCTTATGTTTTCAGTCTCTTGAGCACCCCCTGCCATGAGGCAAGAGAACTGCCTGCCTCACCTCGAACTTGTTCTCTGCCGTTTATAATCGCTCATTACACGAAACACGTTACACAAACACAGTTGGTGACAAAAAGCTCTGTACATTATATACATAAGCCAAATTATTAGAAATAAGTTCACATATTACATTTGTTTAAACCATTTTATTGACGCCGTACAGCAACATGCTCTCTCCGCTTTGCAGCCAGCGCAGAGCCAGGGGTTGCGCAATCCAAGGTGAGGCAGAGCTCGCTGCTGCCTCACCGGCATCGCTTCCAAGCATTTGAATGGGAAAATAAGAAAATTCAGCGATTTTGAACAAATAAAAATCGAAATTGGTGAAGCTACATGAAAAATGAATATTTTTTAGTACAAACCACCGGATGAATATAACAATTTAAATTACTTTATGATTATATATTTTCTTTCTTTCCATGATGGCTGGTGAGGCACTGCCTCACCTGCCTCCCCTGACCGCACGTCACTGCTAAACTGGTATTTTGTTTGGAAGAACGGGTAAACTGTTGTAAATATGCTATAAAATCATAAAGAAAATTAGCAGATTCAAAATATTCTGACTGTTTTAATTGCTGCTGTCGGATATAATTTATGCTACTAAAGAAGATGAAAAGGCACAAAATGACACCAAGGCGCATACAAAGGTGCTTTAAGACAGCATGCACCAAAGCTTAAAATATAACTGCATGTTATTTTCTTTCTTTCTTTCTTTCTTTTTTTAATCTGTTTTGGGACACATTTCCGTCAGTAACGTCTCGATGCATAGGTTCGATGTTTTTTTCTGCAGAGGAACTAAAATTGACAGATAATGGACAGAGGGGAAAGTGGCAGAGGAGTGTGAAAGCCACAGCCGACATGCGATTTGCTCACCAGATACTGCCTTTTTTGTTTCTCCGCACTTTAGCAGATTTGTTCAAAATGAAGGGACGGAAAGTGGGTCTATTCTTTGGACTTTATCTCTTGGTTGCATTAATTTTTATTTAGGCCAAAAAAAAAAAATAATAATAATAATAAAAAAAAAACTTGCAGGAGACGCAAATTAAACACAGCCTATGTCAAAAATGTATGCATTTGCAATTGGGTTCTGTTGTTGTTTTTTTGCACAGACAAAAAAAAAAAAAAAAAGATGTGTGCAAATGTAATCGTTTTGTTTTGCAGCTCAGACACAGTCCAACCTACTGGGCAAGTGCAGAAGACCGAGGACAGCATTCACCAGTCAGCAGCTGCTGGAGCTGGAGCATCAGTTCAAGCTGAACAAGTATTTGTCAAGACCAAAGCGATTCGAGGTGGCCACGTCGCTCATGTTAACAGAAACTCAGGTATAACTCATTTCTGCACGTTTAAAAAAAGTGATGTAGGATAAAGGTTAATAAGATGTTGAAGGCCTGCCTTAAAAATAAATAAAACCCCTTTATGCATCAACTCTTAAAAAAGGTACAACCTTATATATTTCATGTTGTATTGCTTATCGCTGTATTGCTTATCTGAGCAGCCTATAGGCTTTATTTTAAATTTATTTTAACTTACAGTGAAAAACAAATTCTAATCTATTATCCCAGAGAAAGATGCAGGGTAAACATTGTAACTTCTTATTTACCAAAAATGTAAAATTATCTTTTATTCAAGTTCATCATATTTCTCAAACATATCACCTAGTTTCTATTGATATAAAATAAATAATGTAAAATAATTTAGACTGCACAAACATTCTTTTTTTTCAATTTATTATAATATTTATTATATTATTATATTTATTATGATTAAAGTGAGAAACAAACCACTAACACAACTGCTAAACACCAAGATAAATGATTTTATGTTAAATTTCCAGTTGTCTTCCTTTAGAAAACAGCTAAGCTCAGATCAGCCACTGGTATAGCTACATTCTCACAGAGGTTCCATTAAAACAGTTTTCCTAACAGCCACAGCTAAGATTTGCCATTTCTTTCATTTTAATACAAGTGCTTTTGCTAATATAGGTCAAACTGAACAAATACTTTAAAAATCTATTTCTATCACGGTTGTATATTAAACCCTTTTCTCTGACTGCCAGATAAGACTTGCAATTTGTGAGCAATGAATTTGCTACACAAGTTTACAAAGTTTTGCTTGACAAATATGTTTGACCTTTAAAGAACAGTTTTACACCGCATCTTTAAGAAAATAAATTTCAGAAGTATATCCGCCTTATAGCGTCCGTACCAATTCTAAAATTAAAAGCCACAACTAAGGAGCAGTTCGATCAAAGTTAAGGACTTTAGATTCCAACCAAACTTTAGTTTTGCTCTGTTGCTAAATTAGATTTGAACTTAGACTTGCTCCAACAAAGAAACTTCCAACATGAAATCCTGCTATAAAATCCAAATGTGACGAGAACACATTATCCATCAGATTCTCCCATGGACACGAAATAAATGATAAATTACAGCGAACTGAATGAACATCATCTTTGCAAATTGAAAGGGATTTGTTACTGAAAAGAGCAACAAAATTCAACATGTTTGATCTAAATTATTGTAATCTTACTAATATTTACAGCCCTTTAAACACTCCTAGACTAGGTCCACAAGTTAGTCAAAACAAAGATGCTATTATTGTGTTTTTTAGCCCATCTGATAAAAGTTCACCTTTAAACCAGAACAAATCAGATGACTTGATGTCCGTATTTTGAGTTTCTTACTACACTATTTTTAAAATAAAGCTTGCAGTTCCTTTATGAAGTAAAGTAACATTTCTATGCCAATAAAGAATGCTTTCCAGATTTTGATAACTTTTGCTTTTAACTATTCAAATAAAAGCTCAACTTTTTTTTTATGATGGACTTGAAATATATTACAATTTTAACTATACATACATTTCAAAATAGATTCAGATATTGGCATTCTTTTAATGCTGTAAAAAAAAAAAAATTACTGGTAGCACTATTTCAAACATTTTGGACATACATTTTAATCAGTATGTCTGAGTTTAGCCTACATAATATCAGTTTAATAACTAAAATATGCTATACCTGCATTTGGTAAAGTCTAATAACTAAGATCATTTTGCTTAATCGGTTTGGCTTTGAATGTAATAAAATCAATGGTTGTTTGTAATTAATGGATAAAGCCTGTATTGGTTGCAAGTTTGATGTTAGCGTTGGTAACATTGCTTGGTAAACTTGCTGAAGGAAAATTCAATTAATGCTCCAACACTCAAACTTTGGACAGTTGAGTTATGACGGAACATTCTATACCATTTTATTAACCAAATTATCAGTCTTACTGTCCTTTGATGAACACAACCCATGAAAATTCAGATGTACGGTCAACCTCTGAAAGTTAAATTCTCATCAAAATGTTAATATTAAAAACGAACCGCTATTCAACATCACATTTACAATCTGATATGCTCAAAGGAACATTAAACAATTTTGATGGCAAACACCTTCTACAATTTTGACTGAATTATTGTCTTTTTAACTTATTTTTCAGCCAAATTTGTACTTCTTTGGATGAATGGCACATGTTGCCTTTTCTTTATTCCGTAGACACAAGAAAATCTCCAAATTTCTGATTCACCAAATAAAAGACCTTTTATTATGAATGTTTTTAATTAGTTAAGTACTGACAAGGGTGCCTCCAAAAGCTTTTAAAATGATGGCCAAATGGGGTCCATTTTGTTGTTTGAACACCAAGTTATTATTCTGTTGATGTAAATCCAGGTGACTATTGTAAAATTCTTCTTATTTTGAATTACTTTTCCAATGTTTTTATTGTAGCTGTTTTTGTTCTTATTATTTGATGTATATTGTAAGGTGACCCTGTGTTCATAAAAGTTCCCACCCAGCACCTCCCTTTGTGGAACCCAGTTTACTTACTGCTTGATATCTTTTAAGTCCAAGGAAAAATAATATACATAGCAACAAAAAAAGACAAAATTGGTCAACTTGATCAACTCATGAATTAAGTAAACACACACACACACACACACACACACACACACACACACACACACACACACACACACACACACACACACACACACACACACACACACACACACACACACACACACACATCATATACCATGTATGCTTGCTCTGAGCATTTAAGCCCAGAGCAATTTAAGTCACATGCAACTGAGCTTGCAGCATATGCAAAGAGAAAATAATTAGTGAAAAAAACAGGTGAAATATCTGCATAGCTTTTAAAATAGGTCTATAAATGGTATAAAGTGAATAACAACACCCTGCCTGGCCGTCCATAGTCCATAGACATTTTTATGACTATATATATATATATATATATATATATATATATATATATATATATACAATAAATTTTGGAATTTTTTAAAATTACATGTTTTATGTCTTTTCCAGCACAAATCGAGTGCAAAGTGGTGTGAATGGTTATTGCACTTATATTTATCCATTTAATTTTGTAAAGAAAAATAAAAATAACAGATTGTAAAAATTAAAATAAACTCAGAATGTAATGGATTTAAAACGGAGAACTAAAAATATACTAGAATGATTATTTATTTATGCCCCTTTTGATGCTTGAGTCAGATAAATGATTGAATCTGCTTCCCATCAGGTAAAGATTTGGTTCCAGAACAGACGCATGAAATGGAAGAGGAGCAAGAAAGCCAAAGAGCAGGCCGCTCAGGAGGCGGAGAAACTAAAAGGCACAAACAAGAGCGGCCAGGAGAAATCAGACGGACTCGATCAGTCGGATTTTCACAGCAAGACAGATTCAAAAAATGGCAGGATAAGAGACTTCAGGGACAGTGACGATGAGGGCGACACTTTCCTCTACAACTCTTCGGATTGCTCCTCGGATGAAGAGCGGAATCAAAACAGTGACGTCAGTCCGCAACCTAACTGAACTAACTGAATATGGGAAGATTAAATGTAAAAAATATATATATATGTTAAAAATAAGCATGTAATCCAAACATTTTCCAATAAAAATAACTTTAAAAAGCGACTCTGGTGTAAAAAAAAAAAAAAAAAAAGTGTGGATGCGCTTAAATGCGCATCAACACTGCATGAATCTGTAAAGTGGGTCGAAATTATTGAGATATTGCAAAAAAAAAAAAAAAAAAATGCAAAAACTGCAAAAATATTTTTCTATGACGTATTTATACAATAAACTACACATAAAATGCATGTTGAAAATAATCCTTCAGCCTTTCCTGCAAATACTGTAGAGGAAAAAAAATGTTTTTTTTATTATTAAAGAATAAATCCAGTTAACGGTTGGGTTCATTTTTTTTCTAACAGAAAAAAAACATGCAGAAACTGCAAAAATATTTTTCTATGACGTATTTATACAATAAACTACACATAAAATGCATGTTGAAAATATTCCTCCAGCCTTTCCTGCAAATACTGTAAAGAAAAAAAAAGTTTTTTTTATTATTAAAGAATAAATCCAGTTAACGGTTGGGTTCTTTTTTTTTTTCTAACAGAAAAAAACATGCAGAAACTGCAAAAATATTTTTCTATGACGTATTTATACAATAAACTACTCATAAAATGCATGTTGAAAATATTCCTCCAGCCTTTCCTGCAAATACTGTAAAGAAAAAAAAGTTTTTTTTATTATTAAAGAATAAATCCAGTTAACGGTTGGGTTCTTTTTTTTTTTCTAACAGAAAAAAAACATGCAAAAACTGCAAAAATATTTTTCTATGACGTATTTATACAATAAACTACTCATAAAATGCATGTTGAAAATAATCCTTCAGCCTTTCCTGCAAATACTGTAAAGGAAAAAAAAGTTTTTTTTATTATTAAAGAATAAATCCAGTTAACGGTTGGGTTCTTTTTTTTTTCTAACAGAAACACAGTGGTTCATTCATGATTTACTGGGGGTGTTTGAGCCTTGTGTTCCCTCTCTTTGCTCTGACAGCTCGGGTCATGGGAATCACTGTTAATAGCGCTGTCGGATCTGTGCAAACGGGCAGTGAGAGCAAACAGCGAGCAGGCAGTCAGACACAGGAAACATTTCACACCACAATGGGAATAGGCACATATTAATGCACCCTTTAAACAGTTATAGGCAGGGAAACATGAATGCAGTTTCCTAGACTAGAGAGATTCCAAGATCATTAGTTATAAACATTGCAATTAAGTGTTTTTTGAAAAAAATATAAAAAGAAAAAAACTATGAGGTTAGTTTAGAAACTAATGGGGAAGTCTAAAACTATCCACTTGTAAGATTTGATTAATTCTGTTTGCTAATAAATATACTCATATTAAAACACAGCTGGTTAACTAATTTCCAAGAAATACAAACATTACTAAAGAAAAACTTAGTTTTGCTTGTTTTAGAGTCAATAACATCTGATCATCCAAGATGGTGAAGAAGAAACTTTTAACAGATTTTGCCAGAGTTTATACCGCAATTAAATATATAAGGCTGAACCTTAAATGACAGAGGCAGAGATGACAGATGGAGTTCTTCCCTTATGAATATAAAAGGCTGTAGATTATGTTAACAATTAGACTTAGACAACTTTTTTCATTTTGTATACAGTGTATACAAAACAAAATGTCATTTTGTACAGCTTTCAGAACATTTCCATTCCTTAAAGTGCAGCAGTGATCAATTGTAAACAGTGCGGGAGAAAATAAAAACATGGTGCAAAAAGGCATCGGAATGGAAGTTCAGAGCATTGAATATATATGGTGCAAGTATGCAGAATTTTGGTGTTGTCAGTGTGATGCAGAGTCTGTGACGTGATTTAGAGTTTTTTTTTTTAACAGTTCAGCAGTCTGAAGGCAGTGGGCAAGAAGCTGTTGCAGAATCTGCTGGACCCGCATTGAATGCTGTAAAGCTGCTTCCCAGAAGGCAGCAGGGAGAACAGTCCATGGTGGGGGTGTGAGTGGTCATTGATGTTATGGGCTCGGGACATGCAGTGCTGGGATGAAATGTCTTTTATCGAAGGAAGAGGAGCCCCACTGATCTTCTCTGCTGTTCTCACCACTCTGCTCACTTTCTTCTAGTCTGAGGCGCTGCAGCCTCCACAGTGGTCAGCTGGTCAGAACACCCTCTATGGTAGCCTACTGGATGCAGATAAAAAGTAAATACATGTGAAGGAGGGATTTGAATATGAACATCTGGGTATTTATTGGAAAGCTAGAATAAAAAAAAAAGAAGCAAGCACTGACCTATTGCATGACTTTGGGTGAACTATTAGGGGGGCATTAAAAGTGTTGCCCAATGTTGTGTCAGTATTGTTTAATACAGTCATAGTGCCCTAATCACAGTGGCGGTTCTAAAACACATTTACCAGGAGGCCCAGGTGGGACAAGTGTTTTTTTTTTTTTTTACTTTTCAGAACAAAAATAAATGAACCGAAACAACAGCGCAATGTTTCGTCATTTGACATGTTTAGTGGGCCACAGAAGCAAAGAGCCTCTTGCAACTGTGGAGCTTCAGGTTGTATTTCTCTGTTCTAGCGTGTGAAAACTGTGTTCCAATCTCCCTATTGTTGAAGCTAAAAATGTTACACCCTCATTGTTCCATCCTTGTTCATGTTTATATGTATAATTCAAAATATGATTGAGGGACCAATCAGCTTTGATTTCTTTGTTAGAGTAAATCATATAGTATTATTATAATTATTTCACCTCCAGTATAGGGGCTCCGGTCTAGGACCACCCATAGTGAAGTTGGGAGGATTATAAATAATAATAAAATATATCTCTTCATAAAATAATAATAAAATAGATATTTCTTAATAAAAATTGTATAAACCAATAAATACAAATAGGCAAACAGTATAAAAAAGACCTAACTGCTGTCAGATAAGATGGGAAATCTAATGTTATTTCTGGGCTTAATGCATCTCTTTAACAGATGCACCTTTCTAAATCTTATATGAGATTTTAGAGCAAAAACAAAAAATCAGTAAAAACTGTCTGCCTTATCATGTTTTCAAAGTAAAACCACAGACTAGAAAAATGCGTAAAAAGTACAGGGGAAAAAAAAGAGAAAAACCCCCCAATTATTCATGCAAAATAATTTTATAACTTAATAATAATTTGGTATCCTTGTTGTATTATACTGGCTTTCTCAGACTTTTTAGAGGGCCATAACCCTCCTGCTAATTACACCCCAGATTATGTCACCAGATGCATGAGATCGTGTCGGGATTTTGTCTTGATTACAGGATCTAGAACCAAATAACAAAAGCCACAAAAAAAAAAAAAAAAAAAAAATCGATGTTATGTGTTTTTCACATGCTGCAATTTATCTCTAAAGCAAGCTGGATGAATTTTTATGGTAACGTCTGATTCAATATTTGCTTTTGGCATTCTTTTTTATTTTGTCCTTATATGGTCTGAAATGGTTGATTTTAAACGAGATTTTAAAAGCAAAGCCCTGTTTTTTTTGTGCAATGCGGCAACTTAAAAAGAATTTGTCTTCCTGTAGTGATTACTGTTAATCTACAGCAACAGCTGAGAGATTTCCACACCATTAACGGCAGGTTTACTGAGTAATCTTTTGGTTACCTTCAGCCGTTTGCTTTAGCAGGTTTACCTAAAGTTCAGCTTAGGGTCAGCAGGTAAAACAAAAGCATTAGTGAGCTCACAGATCTATTTTTACCAACAATTTAGCTCATATTTTTCCTTTTCAGTTCAGCCTTTTCATGCTAAAATAGTGCAACTAAACAATGCAAACCCTTTACCTGAATTTTTCATTGCATCAAATACAGTTTAGTTTTTTTTGTGTTAGACTGCCACATTAGGAATGGACAGTTTATTCTAAAAACATTTACCTTATGTTTGCTATCTTGGTATTTCTAGTATTCTATGGAAATATGGTCACATAAATGTGCCAGAAAACTTTTGTTTTACAGAAAGGGTACCACAAAAATAAATAAAATAAAAATACCTTAATTGATATTTAATCAAGTATCTATCTGGGATTTAATTTAAAATGTAAGCTAAAGGAAATGTTTTTGTAAATTCTGCTTCCATTTAGATAATATATGTGAATGTGTTGGTAGGTGTGTGAGAAAAATGGTCACCTAGAGGTGCAGTGGTTTTTAAACATGTGATAAACCTCATAACATTCAGCATCCCCCGGCCAATCACTTAACAGAACTTGGTTCTCATTGGATGATCCCTGAGGCACACACTCGGGTCTACAGAGACCTGTAGTGCGCAACCAGAAACCAGATTGTTTATTTAACTAAGGGGTTTGAGAGTAAATGGGGTTTTAAAACATAAGCAGGGCTAACTTTTCCGAACTTTATTTCTAATAAATTTTTAAAATGTCCCTAATTTTTCCTTCCCAGTTAACATTTCTGACAGGTGTAGTATCATCATGACCAAACGTTAATAAGTTCCAGAAATGTAAATATTTTTCCTGATCTTATTCGTCTTTAATGGAAAAACCATCAGATGTCGCTTTAGCTCCTGCCTGCTTTATGAACTATGGACAAACATTTGATCTGGTTGACCCTAGTGGCCAGTTCCCGACCCCCCTGACTGCCCATCCTGCTTTAGAACAATACAGGCATCTGCAGAGCTAATTTATAGAAGCAAGTATCAAATGTAACAGAATGACTCTGCTATGTGAACCATGTGGCAAATATACTGGTGTCAGCGGAGAAACAGGACAGACAATATTCAGCATGCCCCGGTCATTTGATCAGGGCGTGTAAACACTAAGGAAGCAATGCTGCAGTCAAAAAAAAAAAGCAAGCTTTAAAGGTTTTAGCATATTCTTTTTGGAAAGAATACCAAGAATACACATAATAAGGTAAAACTCTGACTGTACACTGCCTGTAAAAGGGTAGATATGCTGTGATATAAGGACAGGAGAGAATAAAGAGATATTGTCATGTTTATAGGCAAATATACAAAGATATTAAACTTTTTTTTTTTTTTTTATTACCGGTAAATCAAAGATTGCAAAATATTTTTAGTTTGCTGTAGCAGGACCCCAAAAGTGGACATCAGACCTGCTTGCCAAAACCACACCTTCATGTTTACAGCTACTGTGTCTTTATGTCCTTCTCTGAGGATTAGTTCCTGCCTCAGAAGGCTGGACGCCCTCTGGATCTGTTTTACAGTTTGAGCTTGGCATCTTTGGCCTCCATTGCTTTGGTGGCGACCTGGGCGCGCTCCTGCAGAAGTGCCAAATGCTCAGCGGACCCCTGAGACTGGGAGTTCTTTAGCAGGAAGTGACTGATGAAAAGCTTCAATCCCTCTCGCAGCATCCCCAGCTTAGGAATCCCTGAAATCCTGAAAACATGGAGATACCAGAGATATTTGTTATCAGACTTTCACAAAGTGTCAAAAAGAAAACATTTCCCAAAACCTTTCAGGTCATTTGAGTTGTTGTATAATTCAAAATAGTGGTTTAAATGACAAGGAACTTAACACATTATCATGCTATCATGAAAGCTTAGAAATTGGCCTATAGTTTGAAAAAATTATGGGATGAAGAACAGGTTTTTTAAGTAAGGGTTGAACCACAGCATGTTTTAAATTTGCAGGAACTACTGGTAACTACTGTTAACCATAGCAAGAACAGAGTGGCCCTGGGTGGGCATTTAGAAACATGTCTGCAAATTGTTTCAAGCTCAGTTTGCATTGATTTTTAAAGTCTTGCTACAACTTCTTGTTGGATTAAGGTCTAGACTTTGACTAGACCAATCTAACATATACGCTTTGATTGAACACTTTAGGTCTGGCTATATGTTTACTATCTGCATCCTCAAACTGGTTCCAGAAAGGGCCTTGTGGCTGCAGGTTTTCTTTCCAACCAAACAATAGCACACCAGACTCCAGTCATTTCATCAAGGGAGTCCAATCTGAACATGATGACTTGATGATATGAATGGAGTCTGGTGTACTATTGCTTGGTTGGAAAGAAAACCTGCAGCCACACAGCCCTTTCTGGAACCAGTTTGACACCTGTGCTCTAAGCAATGCATATAACTGGTAACTCTGCATAATGCTACCACCACCATGTTTTATAATGTGGATGGCGACTTAATGCATTTCAGCCACATAAAGCATTTTGCTTCTCAGCCCAATTTCATGCAACCAGAGCTGCTCCTTCCACACATCTACTGTATCCTCCTGACTTTATGAGTGTTAGGGTGACTTTAAAAACAATATCCCAGTTTTTTAATTTGCCTGAAACATGGAATCCTAATACAATAGATTAAATGTTTAGGTTCTAATATGAAAAACTTGAATTTCAGGTTGTATGAACACATTTGTAAGTGCAGATTTTAAGAGTCTACCATGTTATGATTGTAGTGATTATGTTCCTCTAAATGGTAGCATGTTTAATGATTTGTCTGATATAAGTCTGTAACTCATTTTTTTAGGGGAGTGGTAGCCTAGTGGTTAGAGCATTGTGCTTGGGTGTCGGAGGTTTAAGTCCCACACACTCCCACAGACTGCCACTCTGGGTCCCTGAGCAAGACCCTTAACCCCACACTGCACACAGTTCGCTTCACAATGGCAGCCTACTGCTCCCAAAAGAAGATGAGTTAAATGGGTTGCTCTGTACTTGTAACAGTGTAATGACAATAAAAATAAACGAATAAATAAAAATAACCCACCTCCCAAATATGCTGGCTATCTCCTCAGGCTCGGTTTCTTTTAGCAGCTTAATCAGCACCTGACGTAAAAAGCGCACCGTGGGCTTATCCAACTCCCCAAACTCTATAACCTGCACAAGGAACGAGAAAGAAAAGCACAAGAGACATGTTTTATTTGATTTTCTAGCAAAACATGGTGGTCCATTCCAAATGAGTCACCTTGAGGATGGAGAGGGGGAGGCATTTCCTCTGAAGGAAGTGAGACACCAACTGGACCAGATTGGTAAATGCACCACTGGGAAGGTTAGACAACTCTTTGAACTTGTCCCATAAGGAGAACTGGAATGTCATCTAGGTAAGCAGAAATGGTTATTGGCAAATAGAAAAAATTTTATGTACGTACATTTCATCATTTAGCAGTAAACTGTAGGAAAAGTGAGATCCACAGGTGGGATTTCAGCACATTTTTAGTGAACCTGTACTAAACACACTAAAAGAAAATAAAGAAACTGTGTCTGCAGAATATGGTCAGAACATAAAGTCTTGTGCAAAAACTTCAGTCGTAGTTTAATTACCTTCAAATTAGCTCCATAAGAAAACCAAACAAATAACCCTATTGTACCTCAGGGGGAAATAATAATTAAAATAACAACAACACATTTCTTAATAATTAAATAATAATCATCAGCAGCATTCTCTCAATGTGCTTTTTTAGTCCTTCTCTACTCTGACTTTTTTTTAGAGGAGTTAAGTTTGCAAGTAAATCACTAAACAGGTACTGCTTGAGTTTTAAGCAAACTTTGGACAGCTTTAAGCTTCCTGAAGACCAGAGGGCTATAGAAAAAAACGATTTAAATGCCCAAAGGACATGATACAATACAACTCCACTTATAAAACACTTTAAAAATTTCAATCATGACTAAAGTGCACAGATAAAAATGAATAAAAGATAAATATATATATATATATATATATATATATATATATATATATATATATATATATATATATATATATAAAACTGAGTTAAAAGCAACAGAGAAATGAGAAATGATGTGTGATTAAAAAAAACAGACTGACTGAAAATGCTCACCTCAAATTCAACTGACAAAGCTCCAGTAGAACTACAGATAAAAAGATGCATCTAATTCCTTTGACATATGAGTAAATTTAACTCTATTTTAGTATCTGAAATAAAAAAGAAAACATTTTCCCCATACAGTGGGATATGTAAATCTAATTTTTACAGATAATATGATCATGGATAACAGTTAATGGAGAAGCTTAATTTCTTAGAAAAAGGTTACAAAATATAACAAAAAATGCTGCAACCATAGCTTTTTTTTTGTTTTACCTTTCGGTAAAAACACGTTTTCTCTTAAGAGAATGTTTCCATTAATATGCTAATAAGATGAGAAACAGTGTAAAGTACAGTGGTTCTAAGGGACCAAAAAAACAACAAACAAAAACAAAACAAAACAAAGCAGGTTATAGCAAAACTGGGTTCCCGGTGTTTCAAACAATCAACATTACAAACTTTAGCATCTTAGGTTGATTGCACCAACTTAGAACTATAAAAGGACACTTCCTACTGACCATTGGTTAACTCATACTAAACTGGGAGGGGTTTTAAACCTGCCCTGACACCAGAATCAAAGTGACTTTCTATAATGGATCCATACTTATCTACAGGCTTATTTTAGTAACACTAATACAAATAAAAGTATAGAAATATTCATCAGTTGTTTTGGTCTGATAAAGGGATCATATATATTCTCACAATTCACAAGAGCTAAATGACTCAAGCAGTGATCAGAACCACATGCTGTGGAAAAAAGGTGGGATTAAAAAAAAAACTTAGAAATAATGCACAACTAAATAAAGTTATACATTCGTTTGAGACTTTTCATCATTAACCTTTTAAATTTTAACTAAAATATTTGACTGTTAAATACTTAATGGTTAAACACATGAGCAGGAAATGCTTCAATCCAAGGTGAGAACGGTCCAGACAGAATGCAAACATGTTTGCAGGAAACGGTAGAACAAACCAGCAATAGGAAAAAGGGATACAAAGCCAAAAGGACAAAAAAGTTAAATAAAAAAAAAAAATAGAAAATGCAGGAAGATATGTAAAAGAATGATTGCAAATGTTTCCCTTCACTTTTTTTTTAATCACCAACATTAACTTATCATCTGTCAAAATGTTAAGAAAAAAACAAAACCAATAATATCTTTATTTTGCATCTAAGAAAACTCCAATAAATTATTGCAGATGTTTTCATGTACAAACAACTTCTCACAATTCCCTGAGACGTGAGAGTTAAACCTGAACATCATTAGAGGCAAAAGATTAACTGTAAGAAACTGTAAGTCCAGTTTACAAAGCGCAAACATTCCCAGCAGCTCCATTTAAAGCTCTTTGATGAGGACAATGCCCACTGGGCTCTGATATGAGCTGCTGACCAACATGGCAGTAATGTAGGAGGTGTGCTCTCTCAGTCCCATTGTTTGCCCTCAAATCAGGAGCCAGAGGTGTCGGGGTCTCTCACACTGAAGAGGTGAAATGGAGGCCGCGATCGGATCGCACACAAACACAAACTGGGTGGTCATTTAAACCTGAAAGTCATTATTTATCTAACACTATTTGTATGTTTAAATGCAACTAAAAAGGCATCCCACAAAGATCCCAAACATCTGGAAATTCACTAACAGAACATAAAAAAACTGTCTACTTAAAATAAAACATTAATGAAAATCATATTGTTAATAAAAACTCCTAAATCAATATAATACGACAAAACTTGCAAAAAATAAATACGTTTCCCTTAGCTACCCATAACCTTTTTTTTTACCTAAACTCCCTTATCAGACACTTATTACAGTAACTACATTAATAAGTAACTATGCATGATGTTTTATATGCTGTGGGCGTTCCTGATAGGTGCTAATCCCCCAGTTTAAGCAGGATCTTATGTCATCATTTTGTTTGGATGACGATATGAAGGTCGGTGATATCACAAACTACGCCGCTTTGTCAATTTATAGTTTACATTTATATTAACACACAAAAAAAGGAACTCACATATAGTTTGACTGTTTACTTCTAAACTCTTAAAGGGATCTAAACCAAAAAATTCGGATTCATTTATAAAAAATGAAAATAGGTCATAGGTTATAGTTTTTGAATTAAAGGCGTCTTTCTTAACATGACGATTTGGATCAGAGGAATGTTGTTAATCCCTTGATTGTCCCACAATGGGGAAATTCACTCTCTGCAGTGGGCTGCCATTGTGTGGCGCCTGGGGAGCAGTGTGAGGTTAAGGGTTTTTGCTCAGGGACTGCAGGCTGTGGGGATCAAACCTGATACTTGCAACCTTCTTAGAGCACAAGCGCACTGCTCTGACCACTAGGCCAACACTCAGAGTATTGTTACCCCCTTACCTGGAAGCGTCGATCTTGGGAGCAGAACTTCTCTCCAAGTACAGCATAGAATGCGTTAAAGGATTTCTCCTGCAGACAGCAGTCCATCAGAACGTGGACGATCTCTCTCTCCTGCTTGTCCTTTAGACCAATTCTTCACAGGAGATTCACAGAAAAAAAAGAAGCTTAAAGTGAACTAAACTACTGGAAAATTAGGAGATCTAAGTTTGCTTGAAGCATTTAACCCAAATGGGATTAATGTAAAAAATTGAAACTGAAACTTACCTCAACCCAATTTCGCGATGATCCGGTTGTCCTATGGGCTTTGATCTCAAATATGTTCCTCCTGACTTCTGGGGTATCCTTGTGGCGTCGCAAATCTAATTTTTTTGGAAGGAAAACTGTTGGGTTTTTTACTATTGGGGGTTTTGGGTTGGCAATGTGGGGTGTGGAGGGATGGTTAGGGGTTGGTAATGTAGGGATTTTTTTGGAAGTGGTGGGGGTTACAGAAGAAGGGGGGGGGGGGGTGTGTTGATGGTGGGGGGTGGTGGTTGGGGTGGGGGGGGTGTTTGTTTGTGGTAAATTTGGGGTGTGTTGTGTGTGTGTGTGGTATGTGTTGTGTGTGTGTGTGTATGGTGTGTGGTGTGTTGTGTGTATGTGTTAGTGTGTGTAGGTGTGTGTAGTATGTTGTGTATGTGTGGGTGTGGTTTGTGTGTGTGTGTTGTGTGTGTGTTGTTGTGTGTACTGTTGTGTGTGTGTTTGTGTGTTCGTGTATGTGGTGTGGATGTATGTGTGTTTGTTGTGTGTGTATTAGTTGTGTATGTGTGTGTGTGTGTGTTGTGTTATGTGTTGTGTGTGTGTGTGTATTGTGTGTGTGAGTGTGTGGTGTGTTTGTGGGTATGTGGTTGTGTGTGTGTGTGGTGTGTATGTGTAGTTGTGTGTGTGTGTGTGTTGTGTGTGTGTGTGTGGTGTGTGGGTGTGGTGTGTGTGTGTGTTGTGGTTCGTGTGGTTTGGTGTGTGGGTGGTTGTGTAGTGTGTGTGTGGGTGGTGTGTGTGGGAGTGTGTGTGTATTGTTGTGGTGTAATAGTGTTTTTGTGTATTGTTGGTAGTGTTTTGTGTGTTGTGGGGTTTGTGTGTGGGTTAGTGGTGTGTGAGTGTGTTGTTTTTGGGTTTGGGGTTATTTTTTTATGTTTGTATTTATTATGTTTAGTATTTAATTTATTTGTATTTAGTTAGTTGTTATTGTTAATTTTTATTTTTTATATTTTTGTATTTTTTTTTTTTCATTTTATTTATTTCTTATATTTTATTAATTGTTATTGAATAGTTTGGATATATTTATTTTTTTTTTGTTTGTAATTTTTATGTATTTTAATTTGTTTTTGTTTGTATGTAGTATTAGATATTATATAATTATATTATATATTATATTTTATATATATAAAATATATATATTTTTTATACATTTGATACATTATTATATATATATTTATATTTATATTACTTATGTTAATATATATAATTAAAATATATATATTATATATATGTATATATATATATATATATATTATATTTATATTAATATATATAACTTAATATATACATATTATATAATATATATATATATATTTATATATATATATATATATTATATATTAATATATATTTATTATATATATACATTATTATTTTATATATATATAATATATAATAATATATATATTTATATAGATAAAATAGATAGATAGATAGAAACATTTTTTATTAATATTAAAATAATTAATGCATGTAATAAAAAATATGGAATGTCAATAAAGTGGGAAAAGGTTGCACTTTGCTCATCTCCAAATTCAAAATCCAATTAAAATGATAAAATAATAAGAAACAATATACATCTTACTTAGCTATATAGAAACCAGTGTATGTGAACCTTAATGCCTGCTCTTCTATATAATCCCACTAATAAATATATATATAAATTCCATTTCCTAACTAAATCCGTAAATAGTTTTCATATGTACTTATTTTATAGCCATTTAAAATTAATCTCTGTTTATATATACCATTTACAGTCAACCTACATAGTCTCTGTGCATATGTAGATACGTATTTATATCCTGTATAGCACTTCCAGACAGGTGCAAACTACATTTCATTGCTTTGTACTTGTGTCAGTGTAATGATAATAAAGTTAAACTCTATTCTATTTTATTCCATATTCTGTTCTCTTTTCTGGGTTTTACGTTTTTTCTGTAAGTGGTCCTCCTAATTGTCAGTCATTTTGGTGATATGTTTATGTAAGGCCGTCCTACGTGCTCGTCCCGTTAGCTATCTTTCAGCCGCATATGTATGGTGAGCTAGGGTTTCAGACAGTCGTTGAAGCTCACCCCTCTCGCCGCTGCTCTTTGAAAATGGCCGAGGGTTGTAAATCTACGACTGTAAAAATGTCTACGAAGTGTATAAGAAGAAAAAAGGAGAGGAGGCAGATCTATCCCAGAATGCTTCGCACGGAGAATTTTCCTCGCAAAGCACTATGGGATTTGCCGTCACAGCGGCCCACTGTCACAACCCCACAATGGCGACTAATATCAAAGATGGTGCAGACACCGTGCAGTGGAGGAGGAGTTAGGTGACCAATGGGGAGCAAAAAGCAGTGATCATCTGTCCGAACGGTCAGTTGACAGATTTTGATATAAAGTTCACCATATAGCCCCCGCTGTATGTGGACACAGTAAGCTTGTATGAGCTATGCACATTTTAAACAGGGCGTGCACGAGGAGAAAGGGGCTCGTGCATGCTCTTGCACGCGCATTTTTTTTAACGTGGCGATGGCAGGTCTTTTAATTAATCCTCCACAATACCTTTAATAGGGAATTAGCTCCAAGATATTGGTGGTGAATGTAGAGGAAACAGCATATATTTCAGTCATACTCTTCTCTACCTGTCCTTCAGCAGAGCTCTGCTGGGATGGTGTGTCAGCCTGTTTGCTGATCATTGGCGCTCCGCTCCACGACGAACCTACAATCCACCAACGGCCCACCTGCTCTGCATTCAGGATGTTTTCCAGAGACACCCTCAGCTTCAGATCACTGCCACCAGCACTGCTGTGGATCTGAGAATCGAAAATTCACCAATAAGTAGTAATATTTGATTAATGTAAAAAGGCTAAACAAAAAAATCAGCTTTGTGATGCTGAAAGTGACCTATGTGGAAAAGGGACTCTGGTGCCACCTCTTGGTGAAATAAAATATCACAATCAGCAGCTTTAAAAAGAAAGGTCCCTTCCCAGCAGAAAACAACTATGTAATTAGATTTAAACATTTAAGCAAGGTGAGGAACAAAGCTATTCCTTTTGTCTGTTAATCCATCTCAAACAAACAATACTAAACAGTTTTTAGATTAAAAAAATGACACTGAATCACAAAAACAACAGTGGGATGCCTCACTAATAGTCTGCAGTTGTACGTGTGCATTTATGGTGAAGGATTAGTCAACCTGGTCTCATCATCACTCACCAGAGTTCTCTGCAGCTTCCTCAGTCTCTCTACAGGCTCAGGATCATAGCCCGGTATCTTCCTCATATCATTGTTCTTCAAAGCCAGCATAGTTTCCAGCATGAATCGCACCTGGAGGTAAGTTCACGCATCTTTTAGCAGCCTTAAAGGAATAGTACACCCAAAACATAATTAGCCTTCATTTTCTACTCACCCCCATGCTGAACAACACTCTGGAGTACTTTTTTGATATCTCAAATGCATCTGGAGATCTGGGAGGCTTCTTGCTGTCTGCTGACATTCAAATAATGGAGGTCTATGGTGACCGAGACAGAAAGGTCCATAAAAGTCCACAAAAAACGTGTCAATATTCCTCCATACTGCTCGTCCAATGTATTCCAAGTGTCCTGAGTGGGTAGCGTCCAGAATTTACTCGAAACGAAGTCATTTAGAATGTTTTTAGAGCATAAACAGTAGTGTATAGGATTTCCTGAAAGCGCGCACATGCGCGATCACGACGCTACGGAAGCCGGCAGACCAAACCAGCGCATTCAGCTCGGCAAAGAACTCATGCTCTTCCTCAACACTGAAGTCCTCAGACATTTTTCTTTCGTTGTTTCTTTCTTTGCACAGGTAAACGGCACATTTCTTCTTCTACGCTTGCATTATTGGCAGAGCAAACGCTGAATGCGCACTTTCATCTGGTTTGGTCTGCCGGCTTCCGTAGCGTCATGAACGCGCTGGCGCGCGCTTTCAGGAAATACTATACACTACTGTTTATGCTCTAAAAACATTCTAAATGACTTTGTTTCGAGTTAATTCTGGATGCTACCCACTCAGGACACTTGGAATACATTGGACGAGCAGTATGGAGGAATATTGACACGTTTTTTGTGGACTTTTATGGACCTTTCTGCCTCAGTCACCATGGACCTCCATTATTTGAATGTCAGCAGACAGCAAGAAGCCTCCCAGATCTCCAGATGCATTTGAGATATCAAAAAAGTACTCCAGAGTGTTGTTCAGCATTGGGGTGAGTAGAAAATGAAGACTAATCATGTTTTGGGTGTACTATTCCTTTAATGGGTTACAATTTATAAGGATATAATCAACCTTAACATGTACTGATTTTACGGTGAAGGTAAAAAACATTTTTTTTGGGTGACCTACCCTGGTTTGATCCTTGAACTTTGCTCCCATCTCATTAGCCTTTCGCTGAGCTTCGGAGATGAGCTCTTTGAGAGCGAGAGCATCGTCTTTCCTCAGGGCAAAGCCGACGTTCTTCAGCACAAACAGGACTAACTCGATGTCCTTCTCTGTGAACGCTCCCACCAGTAGCTTCAGAAGGTCAAATATGAGGACAGAATGCACCACCTGGAAGTTATAGAGGTGGGCGACGATGGCGACGAGGTTGTCACACTCTTTGTCCTCGCTGGAGCTCTTGTAGACCTCGTCAAACCTATGCACAACTGTCTCAAGGAAATGGGCTCCTACCTGGAATGGGACACAATGTGGTCAGCTTCAAATGACATGGAGCAGATGCAAAACCTGCACATTTATGGAGGAGCTCAGTAAAATATGCATGATACATACAATTAAGTCTCTTTTTAAAGTTTATATTTTAAAAATGGAACCAATAAAACCCATAAGTAAGTAAGGAAAGAAGGAAGGAAGAAAACATTTTTATGTCTAATTTTATTTCAGAATATCAGAAAAAAGCAGGAGAAAAAATAAAATAAAATAAAATATTTATCATAGCGACTACAGGATTGGAAATAAAAAAAATAATTTTAAAGTCCACAGCTCCCCAGAATCAGAAAAATAAAAATAATTAACCTTTAATTAATAAAGATTATGCCAGTGATTAAAGAACAAATTCAAAAATAAAATTAAACGCATATGAATACAGTAATAGCTAACTACAAGAAGTAGTTATTGCTTTCCAATTATTTTTGAAGAGCTTTAGCTAAAAAAAATGTGAAGAAATTTACTGCAAAACAAATCAAGTTCAAATGAAGAAAACCGACAAAGAAGAAATAATATGACCATTCATGCACAAAAGCAGGGGTCTGCAACCTTTGGCCCTTTACAAACTTGCTCTTCATCAGCAAAATAATCTTTGAAAAAAACAATACAGTAACAAAGGCTGGTTAGCATTCTCTCCATTAATTCATTTGGTTTAATTTCTATAATAAACTGACTCTATGTAAAACAGATTTATTTATTTTTTTCATCTTTTTTAAGTGGAAAAAAACTGTTTTTTATGAGGCATAGCAGAGGTTTCAATTGGCACTGCCACCTGTGGCCAAAACACAGAACTGCAGGACTCATCTGCAAACAAGTTGTTTTTCTTTTTTACTATTTCACCTTACACAAATTTTCCCAAAATGTCAGCAACCCATAAAAAATTTATCTATTCTCTTTTTGTAACTTTTTTCCTTCATTTTAACAAATGTTTGGTAGATTTTTATAAAATTTAAGTTGTCTTTTTCTCCCTTTAAAAAACATCACCCAATGTCTTCAGCTCTATTAGCTGGACTGAATGTAAATACAGCTCTATGGATTGCAAAGGTTGCAGACCGATGCGCTGAAGGGATAAATATAATGTAATCTGCTGTCAGTGTTCGACCATCTCCTTTCAGAGGCTAATAAGACACTCACCTCCAGTCCCACAGCATGATGAAGGATGCTGACCAGCAGCACGTGCTCCATCAGCAGCCTGTCGGGCATCAGGGTAGGTGTGACGCAGGCTGCGAGCAGCACGTCAGTCAGGGTGTCGTTCATGTCCTTCCTGCTGCAGCTCATGTACAGCTCCTCCAGCTGACTGCTGATATAGGCCATGCTGGGCTCGCTCAGCCTGAAATTGATGAGAAAAAAGTCAATTTCTGAGCACTAATATCAGATGGTGTCATCATCATTATAGGATGAGCTTTGATATCTTCTATTTTGGGTCAAATGTTTCTAATGGTTTACCTAATGCATAGTTTCCTAGCATAGAGAGGTACCCGGTTCGATACCCATAGACTGCCACTATGGGTCTCTGAGCAAGACCCTTAACCCCACACTGCCTCCCAGGTACCACACAATGGCAGCCCACTGCTGCCCAAGGGGATGGCTTAAATGCATAAAGTAAATTTCCCCATTGTGGGACAATAAAGGGATTTACATTTATATTTTCTTCATTCAAAACAATACAGTTTTTGTCCACTGGGGGGAGCCAACATCCACAAAAACTAAAGTTATTTAGTACTACAGCATTAAAGGGAATAAATTGAACTTTACATCCATGCCAATATTTACAGTATATAAACTTCTGCCAGAAAATTGAATATATATATATATAAATATTCTTAACATTTCAGACAAACTTTGAAGTATCCTAACAAAAAAAAAAAAAAAAAAAAATATGAGAAAAAAATTGTTCTGTCTTATTTTAGGAAAAATAGATTTTAAAAGTCACATCTAAGTGGTTCAGTAAATAAAAATAATGAATATTTGATATGGGGGGTGAAGAATAAAATTTTTCTTAATATTCATTAATTTTTAAAAGATGTTGTTATCCAAGGGACCCAAGATGGACAAGATGTTTACACATTGAGACAAAACAATCAATTATTCAGAAAAGTTAATGAAAACTTTTCATCCAGTTTCTGTTTTAACAAAATGAAGAAAAAAAAATATTCCTTTTCACAAGGATTTAAGAAAATAATTGTGGGAAGTATCCAGCTAATGATGGTGTGTTCACAATAAAACATTTATAGAAAAAAAATATGTGGATGGCATGACATTCTTTAAATTATGTTTTTATGCTGAAATGGAGCAAATTCTTTGCATCCATGCCCTCCCATCAAAAAAAGATTAATTAGTACAGCTGTTGCTGCAGATTTATAGAGAATCCCACACTGATGATGACTGGAGTTAAGGGCATTTGTATAAAATAATGAAAAAGATACACTGTATCAGACGAATGTATATGTGTGTTGTATAAAAATTGGTGATTCAAAGCTACTTCTGCAGCTTTTTACTATCTGAATTGTGTTGCTGCAGGAATGTTACCTATTCAACAGGCCTTTGACTTTCCTCTTCAGCTTCTCCAGCTCAGCTTTGCGTTTATCATCTCCAGTGTTTCGCAGCTGAGGTGGGACATACTTGTTCTCCCTTGAGGTGCCCTTTGAGAAATTATTGAATGGAGATCAAGACAGGATAATTATTGCTTTTTTTGGGAAAAATTTGAGCAGCAAAGTTAAGGATCTGAACTCACAGCTTGTGATGTTGAGTCAGGTTTGGGGTTTGCCTCCTCGGTTTCACTATCAGCTCCGGAATCAGCACCAGCATCAGTTTTGTTCATTTCATCATCATCATCATCATCATCATCATCATCATCATCATCATCATCATCGTTGTCATCAACATCTTCTTCACTCCCAATCTCCTCGTCTTCAGCACCCTCACTTCCTTCACTCTCCATCTCATCCTCAGCTTCCACCTCTTCTTCTGACACAGATTCCTCACCCAGCTTTTCAAAGTTGTCCTTAGCAGCCTCCATGTCCTCATCAGCATCACAGTCTTCATCATACATCCCTGCTCCTGATGAGCTGGAGTCCAGCACTCCAAGGATGTAATCTAGTCCATCGCTCACAAATGACTGAGGGAGACTTTTCTTGTTTTTCCTTTTGTTTAATCCAAGGTATCGCTCCAGCTTTTTTATCTCCCTGTCCTCTTGCTCATTTGCCTCCAGCAGAGCCATTTTTCTAGTTTCTTTAAGCTTGTTGGTTTTCTTGGAGGACTTGGACCCAGAAGAGGCGGATTTCTCTGCAGGAAGCCCCATGTTTTTGTTTGCAGGTGTTTTTGTGACGTCCCTTTTGGGTTTATCAGCTTTCTTCTTCTGACCCTGGGAATCATTACCAGATCCAACCGCCGCTTTTCCTACATGATCTGAGGCAAAACTGTCGAATTTTTTCCCTTCATAGTGACTTTTCATCTTGGCTTTTTTAAGCCTTCTCTTTTCTTTGCGTAGCTCCTTTCTGCTTTTGGTTTTCACGGATCGCAGCCCCTGTCCTCCGTCTGCTCCATCCTGATCACTTTTACCTTTTACAAACTCGTCGACCGCATTCATGTATTTCTGTAAAACCTCGTTCCCTTTTTTCTTCTTGCTGTTTTGCTTCCATTTCCCACCTTTCATTTCCACAAACACCCTGCGAAAATTAGCTTAAAAAATGTTTGAAACCGGCGACACTAAATGTAAAACTGCAGTCTACGGCAGTAACTCTAACGATGCCTATTTCGATCAAATAAATACCTCACATTGCACATGGATATCTATCTATGAGGAAAGGTTTCGTTGGTTTACTATTTACTTCCGGGTTACGCCACTTACGTCGTCGATGTGAAATTTACGTTAAAGGGAAGCGAGAAAGAGTCCGCCATATTGGGAGAGGAGACGCGGAACATTTGGACCACTGAAGTGAACCGAATAAAAGGGGATATTTAATCTAGTTGGGGTTTAAGATGGAGATAGGGAGGAACATTTGGTTATTAATAAAGCATTGTTTTTATTTTTACATAACACACACAAAAAAATAAAATAAAAAATAAAAAATAGAATGTAGTAGGTGGAACTATAGAGCTACAAACTTATGTACAGTAGGTGGCGGTATGCATCTATAAGCTGTTTGCTATCCGCCAATCTAATAAAGAAGAAGAAGTTGGTGTTTAAACTAGCTTGGTAGAAGATGTGAATCGATAGCATCTATCACAGCACCGTTTTTTTCTTTAACAATTTAAACCTTTAAAATCCGAATATTATGACTATTTTTCTCTACGTTAAATATGGCAGTCTTTAAAAAAAATAAATCTTTCTTTGTTATTTTGAGCACTTTTTAATAAAGTTTTTATTGATTCTTTAATGTTTGATTTTCAATTTCCTATCTTAAACAATTTGAAATAGGAAAAAACAGCAGTACAAATACTAAAATGGAAATGCCCAATACGTTTTAAGGGATGCTTGTGCATCATAATTATTTAGCTCAGAGATTAGTTTCTAATGAATTATTATGATCAGTGTAATAGTGCAAAGCCCTGTTGTAAGGCCACCCAGACATGTAAACTTGATCTATATTTATCCTATCAAGACAAAACTGTTTAATAACACTAAATGCATACAAAAATAAACTGTAAATAAATTTGATTCTATTTGGAAAACCAAAAACATTTATTCATTTTAATGGTCTACGGAAAATTGTAATGTGGAACCAACTGCTTTCAACCACCAGCATCTACATCAACAACTCGCTAACGAAACCCCCTTTGAGGAACAATTACATTTTGGATTTTTTTAAAAGTATCTTCTGAATTTCAAAAGCCTTCACCTCAGTTCAATACTAAACTGAAAATCTGAATTCAAACTTTAAACGGATTAACTAATCTAAAAGCAATGAAGACTCATAGTAATTTAAATGCATTTCAATATTTTGCTTGAAATATCAGAGATGTACTACTATAAATCTAATAATTTCCTCTTCATAGTATCCATGTGCATCAACATTTTTTGAATAGTCAAAAATTTTCAGCTTATGTAATTATGCTACGAACTAGATACAATTTAAAGTTGATGTTGATAAAGAAAGAAAGACGAAATAGAAAGGAGGAGAGAGTGATAACGAGGTTAAGATTTGGGCATACTGGACTTAATTATACATAAATTCAAAAGCATACTACTGGAAATGTGATGACTGTGGAAAATATTAAACAATGGAACATGTTATACTGGAATATCATAAATATGAAAGCGAGAGAAGATATATGAGGAAATAGTTTGAATGTATTAAGGAAAATATTAATTTATTAGATAGTTTGAGGAAGAATTTGGGCAGTAAACATATACAAATAATTATTTTTTTTATTTATTATATATTTATTTTATTAAATTTTTAAAGAAAACTAAATTATTTCAAGGGTTAGGGTTAAAGGTTAGGGTTAGGGTTAGGGTCAAGGCAGACAGGTCAGACGAAGAGCGGTTCAAAAACCCTTATGATGAGCACAACAACGAGGCAAGTGACATCGCCCGGTACGGCGGAGCCGGGACCCCACCCTGGAGCCAGGCCTGGGGTTGGGGTTCGTTGGCGAGCGCCTGGTGGTCGGGTTCTTCCTCGTGGGACCCGGCCGGGCCCAGCCCGAAGGAGCGACGCGAGGCCATCCCCCAGTGGGCCCACCACCTGCAGGGGGAACCATGAGGGACCGGTGCAAAGTGGATTGGGCGGCAGCCAGAGGCAGAGACCTCGGCGACCTGATCCGCGGGCGCTTAAACTGGCTCTGGGGACGTGGAATGTCACCTCACTGGCGGGGAAGGAGCCTGAACTTGTGCGGGAGGTGGAGCGATACCAGCTTGAAATAGTTTGGCTCACCTCTACGCACAGCCAGGGCTCTGGAACCGAGCTCCTTGAGAGAGGCTGGACTCTCTTCTACTCTGGAGTGACCCGCGGGGAGAGGCGGAGGGCGGGGCTGCTTGTCTCCCCCCAGCTCAGCCGTCTCGTGTTGGAGTTCACCCCTGTAGACGAGAGGGTCGCATCCCTTCGCCTTCGGGTTGAGGGGAGGACTCTGACAGTTGTTTCGGCCTATGGGCCGAACGGCAGTACAGAGTACCAGGCCTTCTTAGCATCCCTGGGGAGGGCCCCCCTCCCGGGGATTCCATCATTCTGCTGGGAGACTTCAACGCCCACGTGGGAAACGACAGTGACACCTGGAGGGGCGTGATCGGGAGGAACGGGCCCCCAGCTCTGAACCCAAGCGGTGTCTCATTATTTGACTTCTGTGCAAGTCACGGATTGTCCATAATGAACACCATGTTCAGGCATAAGGATGTCCATCGGTGCACTTGACACCAGGACACCCTAGGCCGAAGGTCGATGATCAACTTTGTAGTCGTATCTTCTGATCTTCGGCCGCATGTCCTGGACACTCGGGTGAAGAGAGGGGCGGAGCTGTCCACCGACCACCACCTGGTGGTGAGCTGGATATGCTGGAAGAGGAGGAAGCCTGAAAGACTCGGCAGGCCCAAACGTGTAGTGAGAGTCTGCTGGGAACGTCTGGTGGAACCCACGGTCAGGGACGTGTTCAACTCCCACCTCTGGGAGAGCTTCTCTCAGGTTCCGAGGGAGGTTGGAGACATGGAGTCCGAATGGGCTCTGTTCTCTGCCTCTATTGTCGATGCAGCTGCCCGTAGCTGTGGCCGTAAGGTTTGCGGTGCCTGTCGTGGTGGCAATCCCCGAACCCGGTGGTGGACACCGATAGTAAGGGATGCTGTCAAGCTGAAGAAGGAGTCCTATCGAGCTTGGCTGGCTTGTGGGACTCCTGAAGCAGCAAGCAGGTACCGTGAGGCCAAGCGTTTCACGGCCTGGGCGGTTGCAGAGGCAAAATCTTGGGCCTGGGAGGAGTTCAGAGAGGCCATGGAAAAAGACTATCAGTTGGCCTCAAAGCGATTCTGGCAAACCGTCCGGCGCCTCCGGAGGGGAAAGCAGTGCTTCGCTAACACTGTTTTCAGTGGGAGTGGGGAGCTGCTGACCTTGAAGGAGGATATTGTTGGGCGGTGGAAGGAATACTTTGAGGATCTCCTCAACCCGACGGATACGCCTTCCGTGGGGGAAGAAGAGACGGCGTGCTTGGGGCTGGGATCGTTCATCACCCAGGCCCAAGTCACCGAGGTGGTCAAAAAACTCCACGGTGGCAAGGCTTCGGGGGTGGACGAGATCCGTCCTGAGTATCTTAGAGCTCTGGATGTTGTCGGACTGTCATGGTTGACACGTCTCTTCAGCATCGCATGGAGGTCGGTGACAGTTCCCCTGGATTGGCAGACTGGGGTGGTGGTTCCCCTCCATAAGAAGGGGGACCGGAGGGTGTGTTCCAATTATCGGGGAATCACACTTCTCAGCCTCCCCGGAAAGGCCTATGCCAGGGTGCTGGAGAGGAGAGTCCGGCTGATTGTCGAACCTCGGCTGCAGGAGGAACAGTGTGGTTTTCGTCCTGGCCGTGGAACAGTGGACCAGCTCTACACCCTCTGCAGGGTGCTTGAGGGTTCATGGGAGTTTGCCCAACCAGTCCACATGTGTTTTGTGGACTTGGAGAAGGCATTCGACCGTGTCCCTCGTACTGCCCTGTGGGGGGTGCTCCAGGAGTATGGAGTCGGGGACCCTTTATTAGGGGCCATCCGTTCTCTGTACAAGCGGAGCAGGAGTCTGGTTTGCATTGCCGGCACTAAGTCGGACCTGTTCCCAGTGCATGTTGGACTCCAACAGGGCTGCCCTCTGTCACCGGTCCTGTTCATAACTTTTATGGACAGGATTTCTAGGCGCAGCCAAGGACCGGAGGGGGTCTGGTTTGGGGAACAGCGGATCTCGTCCCTGCTTTTTGCGGATGACGTAGTTCTGCTGGCTCCCTCCTGCCAAGACCTACAACGTGCGCTGGGGCGGTTCGCAGCCGATTGTGAAGCGGCCGGGATGAGAATCAGCTCCTCCAAGTCCGAGGCCATGGTTCTCGACCGGAAAAAGGTGGCTTGTCCCCTTCAGGGTCGAGGAGAGTCCCTGCCTCAAGTGGAGGAGTTCAAGTATCCTGGGGTCCTGTTCACGAGTGAGGGAAGAATGGAGCGGGAGATCGATAGACGGATCGGTGCGACTGCTGCAATAATGCAGACGCTGCACCGGTCTGTCGTGGTGAAGAGAGAGCTGAGCGAAAAGGCAAAGCTCTCAATTTACCGGTCGGTCTACGTTCCTACCCTCACCTATGGTCATGAAATTTGGATCATGACCGAAAGAACGAGATCCCGGATACAGGCGGCTGAAATTAGCTTTCTCCGCAGCGTGGCTGGGCTCTCCCTTAGAGATAGGGTGAGGAGCTCGGTCATTCGGGAGAGGCTCAGAGTAGAGCCGGTTCACCTCCACATCGAGAGGAGTCAGTTGAGGTGGCTCGGACATCTTTTTCGGATGCCCCCTGGATGCCTCCCTCGGGAGGTGTTCCAGGCACGTCCCACCGGGAGGAGGCCCAGGGGACGACCCAGGACACGCTGGAGAGACTATGTCTCTCGGCTGGCCTGGGAGCGCCTAGGGCTTCCCCCAACAGAGCTGGAGGAGGTGTCTGCGGAGAGGGAAGTCTGGGAGTCTCTGCTTAGTCTGCTGCCCCCGCGACCCGGTTCCGGATAAAGCGGGAGACGACGAGTACGAGTACGAGTAAATTATTTCATAGAATTTGATTATAGCGAGGGTGAATGTGTCTATGATATAGACGGGTAGAATACAAAGTTATGTATAAGTATGTCGTTTTTTTGTTTTTGCTTTATTTTTTTATTAGGAATTACACTCACCGG